GCCTGGCCTTGGCATCAGGAATAACTGGGTCAAAGTTCCATCTCAAAAATATATTGGTCATGGGGCAGCTAGGTGGCACAGTGGATAGAGCACCAGCCCTGGAGTCAGGAGCACCTGAATTCAAATCTGGCCTCAGACATGTAACACTTGCTAGCTGTGTGACTCTAGGCAAGTCACTTAACCCCAATTGCCTCACCAAAAAACAGCAACAACAACAACAACAAAACATATTGGTTAGGTGAGTGAACAAGGTGTTTATCCTTTAAGAATTTTCTAAGACTAAGTTTTTGGGATGTCGCCAGTTTGCCTTGGTCGCTTCATTATCAGGGGTACCCTGGACAAATGAAATCACAGGGTCAGTCCTTACCAGGGCCATGACAAAACATTAACACTTTACAATCTATATTTTGCAATAAGCTCATTTATATTTGAAATTACTTTAAATAAAAAAAAAATATGTCTCACAACTAGATACTGTGAATGTCTGGAAGCATTTCCTTGATGACAACCCAAGAGAGTGCTGTTCAATGTTGTTTTGAGGATCTAATACATGTATAACGAGTAACAAACCTTAAGGTGCTACATAAAGGATAGCTATGATTATCATTTCAAGAAGGCCAACACTGGGTAACATGAAGAATATTAAACTGGGTATCAGAGCATGTGGTTCAAATCTAGTTCTGTCCAAATCTAGCTCTGAATTGAAGCTTAGCTTCTCTGGAACACAGTTTTCCTCATTTGTAAAATGGAGAGGCCTATTCAATGATCTGAATTTGTGATCTTAGGCAGAGGATCCTTTGGTCCTATACTACGTAAGTATAAAGTATTATAGAAATGTGTTATTCTTGTTGACAGGCATTGAGCATCCTACATATTACAGACTCAGGTCTTCCTGACTCTAAGTCCAGTGTGCTATGTATACACATGTAGGCATATATACAAATATATGCATACACACATCCAGATACATGTTTACGTACACACATATATACATATGTACTTATATATGTGTATGTATATAGGTACATATATATATATATATTTTATATACATAATAACAACAACTAGCATTCATATAGTGCCTATTATGTGCCAGGCTGGCAGTATACTAAGCTTTTTCTGCCAACCTTATGTCATTTGCTCCTCACAACAAGAGAGGGAGGTGTTATTATCCCCATTTTGTACTTGAGGAAACAGGCAAACAGAGGTTGAGTGTTGAGCACAATACACAAATATGCCTATACACATACATATAAATGTGAATACATGCATATATACATATACACCTATCATACATATATACATACATATGCACGTATATACATATACACTTATCCATACACACACTCATATACACACATATAAATATAAATATACACACACACACACACACACACACACACATATATATATTTCCATTTATAGATTGGGAAAATGAGACTTAGTGGGGTTACCTTACTTGTCTGTAGTGCTAGTATGGATCAAAGTAGGGTTTGAACCTAGGTCTCCTAAATTCAAATCCCATGTTCTTTTCATACTCCCATGTAACTACAGCCAAGTTTATATAACAGACTAAAATCCCCAAATGTTCATAAGAAATCACAAATTTTCTTCAGACTGTGATCCTCCAATTTATATGACTCAATTTTTTTACAATAGGCATATGTTTACTATAATATCAACATGCTTTTTTTTGTCTAATATATTGCAGTTTCACAGATATGTTGTTTTAGAGGGATGACAGAACAGGAAGATTTGAAATTACAACTGGAAAATCCATAGTCTATGTCACTATTATCATAAGTCCCAGACCTGAAGGGATCTTAGTGATCCTAGCACCCAACACCCTCCATTCTTAGATCGAAAAAGTGAGACCCAGAGAAAAATTGCCTGAAGTCATACAGGAAGTTAGCAACAAACTCAGAATTGTTGCCAGATCTTCTCATTTGTTCCATTATATCACAGAGCTTTTCGTTAAGGAAAAAGCAAACAAGGAAACAACCTTTTCAGTTTTTAGAGAGGTAAATAATTACCCCTTTGATTGAGGCAGTGCCAGAAGTAACACTAGGTCAGAATTCAAAGAGGCTTTGGAAAATGTAAACTACGTGCTATCTGAAGTGACAAAAGAAAAAGGGCTGTTCTGTTTTCAACATCCTTTCCAGATGTAATTGATACATCCCAATCTACGAGCCAAGAGTTCGCACTGAACATTCCAAGGGCTGTGACCTTGGACTCAAGACTTCTCTGGGCAAAGATTGCATTCAGTAGCATATAAATTAAACCACTTCCTAGAAAGGCAGCCTTGTGAAGCAGACAAAGCAATCCACCAGGATCCAGGATTTCAGAGACCCTCTGGTCCAAGGGTTCTTGACTTGAAATCTATGGATTCTTTAAAAAAAAATGGACAATTCTATTTTAACATGATTATTTTAACAGATTAGTTTCCCTTAAAACTTTATGTATTTTATTTTAGAACTTTAAAAACATTATACCTAGAAAAGCTCCATTATACCTAGAAAAGGCTTTACCATACTATGTTAGGGGTCCATGATACAAAAAGAGGTTAAGAACCTCTGCACACATTTGATTTGCTCATTTTACAGATGAGGAGACTCAGGTTAGGGAGTGATTAAATGATTTGGCTAAGGCCACACCGATGCTAAGCATTAAAGACAGACTGAAACCAGGTCCTCTGAGTTGAGGACTAGTGATTTCTCTAATAGACCATGTGCAAAAATGCTGTTTCAGTATTCTCATCTGTAAAATGGGAACAGCAGTATTATTATGATGCACATGACATTAAACAAGTCCATCTATTTTTGCCTCCAGTCTCATCTCACGTAATGCTCCATCTACAAGGTATATCAAGTCTTATGTCCTGGTGAACACAGGATTATACATTTAGATCTCAAAGGGACCTTGAGGACATCTAGTTCAACGCCTTCATTTGATAGATGAAAAAAACTGAGGCCCAGAGCCATTAAGGGACATACTTAAAATCATGATTTAATAAGTAATGGATGCTGGATTTGAATCCAGGTCCTCCGATTCCGAATCAGGTCTTGTTTCTACTGCCCCAGCCTCAGACACTTAACTGTGCAAGCCTGGGAAAGTAACTTAATTTCTCTCTGCATCAGTTTCCTCATCTGTAAAGTGGGAATAATAACACCTACCTCCCAGGGTTGTTATGAGCAGAAAATATCTGTAAAGTACTTTGAAAATCTTAAAATTCTCTATACCTATATGTATGTATGCATGTATATACAAACACACGCATACACATACATGCATACACACTAGCTAGTATACTAGCTAGTGTATACATGTGTTTGTGCATATATATTTGTAGCTAGTATACATGTGTGTAACACTACTATATATATATATATATATATATATATATATATATAAACACACACACACAAACACACACACACACAATTATTATAATGAAAGCAGGTTTGCTTATCCTGTAGGCATATCCTTGAACCTGCTTAATAATTATGGTGAAATCCCTCCTCTTCCCTGAGTAACCACATGTTCACTCTGCCTAACAAGCCTCCTTCCCTAGGCCTACCTTTTTCTCTCTTGATCTTTCAAGACTCAGTTCTAAGGTCACAAGACCTGCGAAACTATTCCTAATCCTGGCTATAGGTGCTTTTCCCTCAAATTACAATGACTTAATAGAGTACATGATGTAATTCCCCTTCTCCTTTTGACCCATCACTTAGTCAAATGTAAGCTCCTTGAGGGCAGGGATTGTGGGGATCTGGTTTCCTGAATCTTCAGCCCTGAGCACAGTGACTAGCACATAAGAAGTGAATAATTAAAATGATTAATAAATTAACATTAATAAACATTAACAAATTATTAATAAATATTAAGTGCTTATTATTAAGGATTTGCTGAATGGTTGAAGAATGTGGAAATTAGTAAATGTTCCTTACTATTCTCTGCCTCCCCCTCCTAATCTTTCCACTCCTATTATGATCTAGCCCTCAGTATGCAATATGATAATAATAACATAATGATAATAATAAGTAGTATGATAATCATCACCATCATAATGGCTAGCATGTATAGAGTATTTTTAAAATTTTGCAAAGTGTTTTATCCATATTATCTCATTTCACATACTTAATTGTATGTATTATTTATATACTCACCAATTGTTCAATTTTCTATGTGACTCACCTGTGATTTGTTAGATTCTAATCCCCTTAAAGAAAGAAGGGATATCTGTTTAAACCCGACAATAAAACTGAGTTTCCATTCATAGGGCCCTTCATGGTTTATACATACGTTATCTTTGCTCCTCATATTGACTGTAGATTTGGCATGATAAGCCCAAACTTTACAAATGAGAAACCTGAAACTCACAGGGGTTAAATGACTTACCCAAGGTCACATGGGGAGTAGGCAGAAGAGCAGGAAGCGTCATTCATCCACTAAGTCCACAGAACACAAGAATACAGAGTGTCTTAGGAGCATGGCGCTAAAGCCTGAATAACCTTATGGTCTACTATCTTGAACTCCCTCATTTTTAACACATGAGGAAACTGAAGCACAGAGCAGTCTGAAAGCGGGCTAATAATAGTAATGATGATGATATGATGATGATGATGATGATGATAAATACTAATAATAATATCAATAACTAACATTTATATGGCTCCTTAAGGTTTGCAAAGCACTTTACAAACATTATTTTATCCTCACAACAATGCTGGGAAGTAGGTGTTATTACTCTTCTCATTTTACAGCTGAGGAAATGGAGGCAGGCACTGGTAAATAACATGACCCTGGGTGACACAGCTAGTAAATAGGTGAGGGTAGATTTGAATTTGGAACTTCTCGACTTCACATCCAGCAGGAGGTTTTATTTGCTTCAAATGCTACAAGGCTCTAGTCTGGCTTTCGTGTGAATAAAACAAAAGTGAAGATAAGTTACAGCAATTCTTGTCTCCTTCAAACAAGGGGAAAAATTCTCAAACACTTACAACGTTCAGAAACATGATGATCACAAAATTGATGCAGACTCCGGTCCCCGAAGTGGCAAACTGCCAGTATTTTTTGACGAAATACCACTTGAAAGATGCAAAGTGCTCCATGGCCACCAGACGATAAACCACGACAGCAAAGACTGTGGTGAGCACCAAAGAAATCTGGATTGGGCGAGATGGGAAGGTGAAATCACTACCAAGCTTGCGCCTCACACACCAAGGGGGAGGAAGGAGATACAATATACTCTGTTCTTATCTCAAGTAACAGGCAATATTGCTAAACACTTCATACTTAAACTGAACCGTATGCAATCCATGCAATGTTTTAGAAAAAGAATCCATAAAAATCAATCAATTTAAACTGGTAGCCACCTAAAATTGCAACTATTGCTCTACTGTATTCCAACATAAATGTTTTCCTTTTATACTTTATGCATTGAAAAGCATTAATTTGAGAATCCACAGTCTTCATCAGACTGCCAAAGGATCCATGACACAAAGAAAGCTCAATACCCCTGTTCTCATGGAAGCAAGCATTCAGTAAGTGCCTACTATGTGCCAGGCACTTAACTAGGCTTTGGGGATTTAAACACAAAGAGTGAAACAAAATCTATTCTTGACGAGCTTACACTACAGCAAATCAAAGCTCTTTCATTTTTGTCTTTTTATTGTCAGTGCCTAATATGCTGTCCTGTACACTGCGGGTGCTTAGTAAATATTTTAAAAATGAATCATAGTGAAGGACTTTCTCTGTTCAAAGAACTACAGACTACAGGGTAACATCAGATACGTATTATCAGTAGAGATGTTGTATTTTAAGGAATTTCCATTTGTCTACCTTATCACACAACGGATGTCCCCAAAGAGGTCTTGATTCTAAGCAGTATAACTACCATCCTCAGAATAATTCTATGACTTTAATAAGTTTTTTTTATCCCCCTCCCTTGCTAATTCCCTAGTAACCTAATGTATATTTAATGAATACATTTATTGAATAAGATATTCAAGGTCTATAATCAGTTGCTCTCATAGAAATATTGCAATTCTTCCTGAATCTAGAATTCTCTCTCTTTTAGAATATCTCGTTTGGGAAAAGCCATGCACATTAATGTTCTGACATTACTCTACCATTAAGAATATTCCTAATATGGAGATCATAAGCCGAACAAGTTTATCCATGAAGGGCTGGTAAGGCTCAGGTTTTCCTGTGATGGGATTCACTCTTTCCACCTGAGCATACTTTCTTTCAAACTGGGGGCGAACATTTTCCTAGGAGAGAGATGGCAAGTTAATACATGAGAGCAAGCCATGAACTCTGTTAATATTTTCATAAAAGCCACCATTAAGAGCAAGCCAAGAGTTTTGCCTATTTAAAAATAAAACACCTATACCTTGGCAAGAAGAGTCACTGTTTTTCTCAACAACAATGATAATAGTAAGTACTAACATATTTATAAGTGCTTTATACATATTGCATATTATATCTTATTTGATACATCAAGCCTCTGAAGTAATACAATTATTATCCCCATTTAAATATGAGTAAACTAAGGATGAGAGTAGCAAAATGATTTGGCCAGGGTCACACAGCTAATAAATGTGCAATTAAGGATTTGAACTCAGGTGTTACTGACTCCAAGCCTCAGTATTCTATTGACCACAACACCTTTCTCTGAAAACAGCCTCAAGTTTTCAAGATACTTTTCATTTGTATAAACTTTTCATAAGTAAAAGTAACACTGGAAAAATACGCAGAATGTATTACGTTATTCTACCTGAAGATAAAATTGCCATCTATACCACATGGATTTCTTGATAATAATGACTGCCCATGATGTCAGGTAATATAGCTCATCCAGTTACTAACTGGAAGATATGGACACTGAATGGACATCAAGGGCACCTTTGCCCTCATTACTAACTTCTTTAGAAATACCTGTATTCACACAAAAGTCCATGCATCAGGGATCATTGGCTTGAACAATCCCCATGATACCAGTCCAATCCTGTTGCCATCCTTTCTCTGTCATGTTTTTTCTCCAGAACACATAACTATGTGGGGTTTAGCCCTAGGATATTGATATGGAAGGGGTATATTTCCTCTCCAAAGTGACCATCATCCCTAGGGTGTGATAATGTTCTCAGGGTCTTGTTGATATGGACCCCCTCTCTGGTGCTTGCCTTCCCTCTCAAATCCTATGGACGATGCACTGACCAGGCCACCCCTGTTCCTGGTGAAACTCCGCCTGGTTCAGACTGTTGTCTGCATTATTATCATAACTCTCTCCCGAGTCAATATGTCCCAGGCACAAAAATTCCTAATGCCATCACTGCTTACCTCTTCCTCTTCCCAGTCAATAAGGTCCCAGTCATAGGTCAACACAGCCCTCCTTCTCTTCCAGAACTCCAGGAAAACTGTAGCTGTAAAAAGCAATTCATTCTTTAGCAATATCATGTATTTGTCAGGAGAAAGTGCGGAATGCCCAGCCGGGAGGACATCAGCAAGAGTCTTCCAGATGGGTGGGCAGGGAAGAGTTGCTATATTTGTCATTGAGGTAACTCCCTTATCAATAAAATGACCAATCCATTTGAACTTAGTAATAATAATGATAATTAAAAATAATATCATGTATTTTTCCCTTTAAATTGCTTCATTTAAAAAATGTATCTGAATTATTTTCATAATCTATGCTCCTCCTGATATAGGAAATGAAATAACACTAACTACTGAATAATGAGTGGTACCTTCCTACCTGCTCTGTTTCCCCTACTGATCTCTCCATTTTGATCCCCTTCAATAGAACACCAGAAGAAAGGTAGCTTTGAGGGGTAGCAGCAACATTCAAGTCAGTCTTGAGATATGATTCAGAAATGTTAATGTCTTCACAAAGGCTGCCTTTAAAACTAGATGGTGCACAGTGGACAGAAAGCTGGGCCTGGAGTCATGAAGATGAGAGTTCAAATCCTGCCTCAGACACTTGCTGTGTGACCCTAAGTCACTTAAGCTGTTTGCCTCAGTTTACTCATCTGTAAAAGGGGGATAATTATAACACCCAACTCCCAGGGTTGTTGTAAACATCAAATGAGATAATAATTAGAACATGCTTAGCACAGTACCTGGCCCATAGTTAAGTGCTATAAAAATATTAGCTCTTGTTATTATCTTTTATGTACACGGCAAAATACTTTTTCTTTACTGATATGGTGAATTCCATTGCACAGACAAATTAGAAATGCTGCCTGAAAAGCTCTGGAAAAGTAAGGAAGAAAAAGAAAGACATTGCTATGGTCTAGTCATTGTAAGAGTAATAGAGGGATCTATATGTTTTAAATATAAAAGATAACTAATGAATGGCTGTTGAACAGTTATTCGTTTACTGTACTTTGTTCTCGGAGAGGACCAAAATGACATCCCTATGTTGGAGTCAAGGTACAGTGTATCTGTCTGTGACTGATCAGACCAATATGAGCTCAGAAGACTCTATCACAAGTTGGGCACCATAATCCACATGTTGAATGAATAAGTAATGGAAAAGTGTTGGGTTTAGAGTCAGAAGACCCAAGTTTGAATCTTGGCTCTGAATCTTGTAACCATGTGTGAATTATTTCCTTTCTCTGAGCTTGTCTGGAAAATGAGACAATGGTATTTATACTCCCTACTGTCTCCCTGAGTTTTGAAGGGAATGTGTCCTGAAGTGGTATAAAAACAGGAACAGAATTAATCAATGAAATGGTCTTTGTTCCAAAATACCAAACCATTGTCACCACCAAAGGATGGACACAGTAGAGATAGGGCAGTATAAGGGCTGGGGGGACTGACTGCAAAGTCAGAAAGATGTAGCTTCAAGTATACATTCTGACTTTGTAGTCAGTAAGATGTGGCTTCAAGTATACATTCTGACTGTATGATCATGGCTAAATCACTCTACTTAGGCAGTTCTATGAGACTGGAAAACTGTAGACAATTGTTGATCTCCTTACATGGAAAAAGCATATATATACCTTGAATAGCCCATATTGATGGAATCTCCTGTTTTCTGTCATCAAATCCAGTGTTCTTTCCACTCTACAGAATGGTCACAGGAATCTTAATGTATGTCATAATACTTTAGATCAATTCTAATTTCTTGATTTTATAGATGGGGATACTGAGGACCACAGAGGTTAAGTAACTGGCCCAAAATAATCAATAGGCAATAATCACTTATTGAGCAGATAGCTACTAAGCCCCAGGTGCTACACTAAGCTCTGGAGATACAAAGAAAGGTAAAAGTTCCTCCCTCCTAGGAAGAATCTACCACAATCAAAATCTAAAGGGGGAGACATCACATCAATAACTATGTCTAAGCAATCTGTATATAGGACCAAGTGGGGATAATCAACAGAGGGAAGGCAATAGAATTAAGGGAATACAGGTCCTTCATGGGAGAGTCAAGAGTTGAATCCAGGAGCCCTCTGTCTACAAATCAAGGGTGTTTCTCATAGGAATTTGATGCCTCCCAAGTGACAAAACCACAACACAAATTGTATTCTCCCTTCTCTGAGTTAAGGATTCTTAACCTTCATTTTGTCATGGACCCCTTTGGCAGTTGGGAGAAGCCTCTTGACCCTTTCTCAGAATAATGTTTTAAAAGCATAAAATAAAATACATGAGATTATAAAAAGCAACCTATTCTATTGAAACACTGCTCCCCCTCCCCCACCCTCTCTCTCTCTCTTTCTCTTTTGTATACACATGTTTACAGACCCTGCTTTGATGCTTATCAGCTATTGTTACTACGGGCCAATCATTTAACCTCTATTATCCTCAGTTTCCTCATTTGTAAAACAGAAATGGAAAACAATCAAAAAGCATATATCAGGTACCTATTATGGCTACAGAACATTATGGCTATTGAACAACAAACAAAAAGTCCCTGGCTTCAAGTAGCTTATATTCTATCAAGCATAAACAACACTTGTAGAACTTATTTGTTCTGTGAAAAGCCTCAAATGAGATTGCAAGTGAAGTGCTTTGCAAATCTCCAAGGTCTATGTCAGCTATTTAAAGACTCTAATTAAACCAAGGACCTTAGATTTGGATTAATCCCAGTTTCCACCTGTAGCTTCCTTCCATCAATAGTGATTTCATGGTACCTTTGAGGGTTTTATGACTTCAGAAAAGTTTCCATTCTCAGTTTCAGTGCTAACTTGGTTTATATTAAACTTTGTTCTTAACATTTGTACTCAGAAATTTGTTTCTTCTTTTCAGAGTGGAAATCAGAGGGAAAATAAGAGACACACATTCTAATAGAATAGTGCCCAAGGATATTTTAGGCTAATAGAATATTTTTTTAAATTGAAAGCATCTTAAGCAATTGTACTATAGAGCAGATAGTTTTAAAAGGCAACACAGAAAAATTAACAATTCCTTCTATTCCTTAATATTGGAGACCTTTCCTGGATTTCCCAACCTTAAGACATTTCAAATATTCTTATGCTGCATTATACTAGCAGAGTTGTGATATATGCCATCCCACATATTGAAATTTCCTTAAAATTTAGAACAAGCTTTTAACTGAATATGCCAAGGTTCTGTGATTCCATCAGTGTCAGAACTACCAGGAGCCAACAAAGACACCAATTCTTTTTTGACTTAGCAGACAAGTCTTAAAGTCACAGAGACATTAACCAATTAGTCCAGAGTCATGTAGCCATCAGGTGTTATAGGTGAGATTTCAACCCATGTATTCCTGATTCCAAGCCCAGTGCTATATCTATCTACCCCATCTCCCTGTCTCAAGGAACCACTTTTAGTCCAAAATAAACGTACCCATATCTTTATAATTGGGAGGCTGCCTGGTGTATGGGAAAAGCTGCTATCTTTGGAATCAGAGGACCTGGGTTCAAAACCTGGATCCCTTCCTGTCAATCTGTATGACCTTGGACAAATCCCTTGCCCTTTTTGGGCTTCATTTCCTTGTGTATAAAATGAAGGAGTTGGACTCTAGGTGATCCCAAAGATCCTTTCCAACCCTAAATTTATGATTGAACTCAATAATTTCTAGGATCATAAAACACAAAGACTTCAAGGTCTTCTTTTGAAACTGAGACACAAGAGGTGAAAGTGGACGGTCTTGCCCCAGTTGTACAGTTGTATTGGTGGTGGGGCTGGGATTGGAATGTTAATCCTTTAATTCCCAGCCCTGGGTTCTTTTCACTATACAACCCCAAATCTAAAAAAACAAAATATAACAACAGTAAACAAACAGAGATGGCCAAAACAAGTAAAGGCTGTTCTGAAAGGCAGGGGTGAGAGAGAATCAAAAGGACTTTTTTCATTATCAAAGATGAGAACTTGAAATTTCTTAAAATAAGCTGGAGCTGGAATGACTGTTTATCAGGAACAGCAATGCTGAGACTGCCAATTTGGATGGGGTCCAAGTACTACTAAGTCTTCCACTCAGCTCCTTAGATTTATTTTTAATAACATTCTCAAGCACGATGTGCTTACCCCACATGGTATTGCAACTTCCCACTTCACAAAAAAGAAGTGGGATCATTGTCAAACAAGTTCTACCCGTGATTTTGGGAACTCTTTGATTTCATTCCAGAAGAATATTTACAGCACAATTTTCATTGTTATCCCCCCTTCCCCTCTTTGGAGGTGTGTTTATTTTTATTTTTTTTAATTTTAATGATAACTTTTGTTTTCACATTACCTTCATTTTCTAAACAATTCCTTATTATTCCTCCATGAAGTAAGATACCTCTTGTAACAAAGAATAAAAAATCAATTCTTCCAAACTAATACATCAAATAATCTATCAGTAAACACTGATTAAGCACCTGCTATATACCAGGCACTGTGCTAAGGGCTAGGAATACAAAAAGAGGCAAAAGACAGTCCCTGCCTTTAAGGAGCTCACACACTACTGGTAGAGACAAGATGCAAATAAATATATGCAAAGCAAGGACATACAGGATAAATAGGAAATTACCAGAGAGAAGGTACTAGAATTAAGAGGGATTGGGGAAATTCCTACAGAAGGTAGGGATTTAGTGGGCATAGGAAGGAAGCCAGGGAGGTAGTAGTCAGAGTAGAATAGGGAGAGCATTCCAAGCATGAAGGACAGCCTTAACAAATGCCTGGAGCCAACAGATGGAGTGTCTTGTTTGTGGAACAGCCTGGAGGCTGATGAAGTGTCTGGAAGTGTCTGGAAGTAAAGTGCAGGAAGCCTGGAAAGGTAGGAGGGGGCCAGGCTATAAAGGACTTTGAATGCCAAATAGAATATTATGCATTTTAAACTGCATGCAAAAGGGAACCACTGAGTATGAGGGTGACAAGACCAGACCTGCACTTCAGGAAAACATCAACTGAGTCTGAGTACATGCCACTCTTTACGTTCTCTGCAAAGACACAGAGATGCATTTTCCCATCT